AGAACAAATTAAAAATTTTTCATTAGCAAATATTTGCAAGGAGAAAATGAGTCAAGGACCAGTCAATACCTCTCACGGTGAGGGGTTCATAGTTTCAGAACCCAGTGTAAGGAGCAACGTGACTATCCAGTTGGAACAATTGTGGGGTACTGAGTAGAAAGAAGTACCTAGCCCAGCTAGGGGGAGGAGAAGATGTGGACTGAGCCTTGGAGGGTGAGTGATTTGGTTTTTAGGCTGCATCGCAAGCAAGGAAAGCACCCCAGGTAGAGAGGGGTTGATTTGAGTACCTGCATTTGTTTGCAAAGCTGGAAAATGGACATGAACTACGGCTGCTTCTGCATCTGTGTGATTTTATTTTCAGTCAGAAGTAAGTGTAGAGATTCTTCAAAAAACTGGGCCTAGAGGTTCTGTTTGACCCAGCTATTTCCCTTCTTGGTATCTCCCCAAAGTAATTAAAAGCATTATATAACAGCAATATATGTGCACCCATATTTATAGCAGCAAAGTCTGTAACAGTTAAATGTTGGAAACAACCCAAATCCCATCAGCTGATGAGTGGATAAAGAAGATGTGGGTTTTTTTAAAATACAATGGAATACTACTCATAAGAAGGATTAACTTCGGTGGCTGGGGATTTAGCTCAGCGGCACAGCGCCTGCCTGGCAAGTGCAAGGTAATGAGTTCAATTCCCGGTCCCAGAAAAAAAAAAGAAGGATTAACTTCAGACATTTGTAGATAAATAGATGAACCTTGAGACCATACTCTTAAGTAAAATAAATTGGACACATATGTGTAAATATCATATTGTCTCTGGTATGAGAAGCTGAAAGTGTAAAGAAGAACTAAAATGTATAATAGATTTTGTGAAATAGGAAGTAATTGTTCAAAAGGAAAGGGAACTAAGTGAGGGTAAAAGGGAGAAGAAAAAAATGAGGGAAAAAAAGCATAAAATGGAGACAAAGATTTGTAAGTAAGGGTTGAAGAGAGGGGAGGGGAATGGGAAAAAAGAGGAACTAAGATAATGTACAGGTACAAATTCCCTATGATGAATGGGATCATTATGTATATCTAAATTGTGCCAATAAATGTGGTTTTTTTCTCTGGTACCGGGAACCGAACTCACGACGTTGCGCTTGCCAGGCAGGCGCTTTGCCGCTGAGCTAAATCCCCAGCCCCTATGTGCCAATAAATGTATTTTTTTTTTTAAAAAAAAGTAGTGAATTTTAGTTAAAAAATAAAATATAAGAGGAAATAACTTGAATTTTTCAGAGCTGGATTCTCAGGTTTGGTGAATTAATCCCTTTTATACATCAAAGATATATTTCCTTTTATCTATTGTCTTTTTATGACCTTATCTTTTTCTTTCTGTAAAGGAACTTGGTGTCATCACCTATTGCAAACATGTATTATGCCCGCACGCTCGCTGGGGCAAGCAGGCATCCAAGCCTGTGGAGCTGTCAGGTGCAGGCAGATGTTCTTTGAAGCTCTGGTGGCTTCTAGATCATGTCATTGCCTTTCTTTTCTTCCTTAGTAGCTGGAGATCTATCCATAGAAATTACACCCCTCTTTCAGTTTTTCTTTTCTAAACTGTTGTGAACTTAGAAACTAGACAAAGGAACTATGTATAGTTAAGAAAGAGCAAGTGCTGCAGGAGACTTTAATGAGTTTTCTCTCCTGGTAGTGTTTAGAGTAAGGTGGATTTTGTAGCTCAATTTGGATTATTAGGGAACATGAATTTCCTTATTCCAAATACATTGTCATCAAGCAACTTAGTTACTGAAAAGTGCCGTTACATGTTTACTTTTTAAAAATTATACCAACAAAAGGCTAGACTCTGTCAGGAATTAATTATGATAGAGTGAACAGGAGTTGCTGAAACTTGGGGGCGGATCCAATTCATGGACACTCATCCCAGCGACTTTAACTGTGTCTCCATCAGCACAGGCCGACCTATGTGAAACCAAGAGTGATGGACACTATCCCTCATGCACCCTGTGCTCTGGCATGAGCTTTGGCTGGCCTGGGATGGTTCCAGCCCCCGCACTCTGTGTGCACTGACTTTTGTACTCAAAAGATGTCTGCCTTTGAAGTGCAGGTGGATAGGATTTTACACGGAATTCATACTTTGACTTTTGAAATGGAACATTTAGCTAACAGGTATCCTGGTATCTGGATTTCAACTACCTGGTTCACGATGTAGCTTCACAGAAGACTGCCAGAGGTCACTGTAATGAAAATCCTCTCAGTGTAGTCATGACTTCTGGCCCCAGGAGTCTTATAATTGTGGATCTGGTCGTTCAATTGTATTTTACATCAATTCTGCTATTGCTATCATCTGGAAATGGATTCAAGCCTGTGGAAAAGTGAAGATAATAAAAAACTGTACTTCAAGTAGAGATTTTAGGTTTATGTTCCAGTCTCCAGTTCTGTGGCACGATGCCCTTGTTATGTAGGAAGACGGCTTGTGGTGATAGGCCGTCCCTCTAACTTGGCATTGGGCAGGCAATTTACTAACACAAGGTGGGGAGAACAGCAGCAGTAAGGTAGAGGAGTGGGCAGCACTTGTTTTCACCCCTAAAAATGCCCCTGTAGAATAAAGAGTACCTCTTAGTAAACTGCTTGCAGTGCCGGTTAATGAATGACTCTTCATTGCAAATGCCGAGCCCGATTCATTAAAGACTCTGCCGTACTGATTCTCATGTAGCTGCCATCCCATGACTCACTCCCAGACCTACAGAAATAAAGAAACCATGTTTAATAGTTATTTAAGGCAATTTAGTGAGTACTATCTGTGCAAAGAACTGTGTATAATTAGCCCTGTGTATCTGCTAGCTCCATATTCGTGGATTCATCCAACCATGGGTCAAAATATTCAGAAAAAAATTGCATTCGATAGACCATGTATAGATATTTTTCTTGTTATTATTCCCTGAACAATGTAGTATAACAAATATATTCCCATAGCATTTCTTTTTTTTTTTTTTTGGTTTTTCTCTGGTACCAGGAACCGAACTCATGACCTTGCGCTTGCCAGGCAGGCGCTTTTGCCGCTGAGCTAAATCCCCAGCCCCTCCCATAGCATTTCTATTGTTTAGGTGTCACAAGTAATTCAGGGAATGACTTAAAGTGAATAGGAGGATATATGTAGATAACATGCAAATACTGTGCCATTTTTCTTAAAGAACTTGAGTATCCTTGGGTTTTGGTACCTGTGGGGATCCTGGAACCAATCCTCTGTGAATGCCAAGGGATGGCTGTATTACATCTGGGAAGCTACAGTCTCGTTACTTTGATGGGGTATAGCTGTGTGGTCCAAGTTCAAGGCCAATCCTAGGCAAAGCAGCTTCTCTAATTGGTAAAAGAGGAAGATTGGCTGAGAAAAGAAGGAAGAGCAGCATGAGAGAAAGGAAGAAGGAAGGCGTACATGAGAAAAGTGTGCTCAAGGGCCAGTCAGGGCATCAGTGGACTGGTGCACAAGGTGAGGGCATCATCAGAGACCTCTACATTAGGCTGGTGTGCTTAAGGCCTGATGATGTTGTAAGCTACTGAAGCTTTTGAGAAGAAAGATAACATAATGAAAGCCAAACAGAAGAAAGGCTGGCTTGGAATGTAAAAGAGATAGAATGAAGTCAGCCTGAAGGAAGCTGCTATTCTGATTTCACCACAGATTTCCAAGGGCTGAGACTAAGCTATAGCTAATGGAAGTGGAGAGGATGCAAAGTCAGTACACAGCACATTTTATGTTCTTGTTTAATTCAAGAGGCCATACACCTACGGTGTAGTGGTAGTTGAGATGTAGAAAGATCCTCCAGATATAAGGGACCCTCAATCCCATGTCAGGTTAAGTGAATTGGAGAGGAGGGGGTAGGGAAATTGAGGGAGAATCATTAGTGTGGCCTTGGGGACAAAGTTGTAATTCAAATAAAATAGATAATGCTTTTGTATGGCTTCCACAGAGCAGGGCTTGGGATAGAAGGAAGATAGGAGAAGGCTCACGGTAGTTGGTAGCTATGAGTGTTCCGTTTTGTGGGCAACTTTGTTCACTCTTCGTTAGCCATAACACCACCATCCTGTTCATAACTAAACCAGTGTCCAAATGGGAAATTCACTTTTTCCTTCTTTTCCCTTAATCTCTGTATCCAATCATTATCCTATACTTGCCATTCCTGTCTCTACCCGAAGCTGGATATTGATACCTGACTATCTTACAAATATTTGGCTGGTGCAGGCTAGAATTTTAATGTCACACTACCATGAAAAATACAGAGACTTGAAATTTGCATTTATGAGCAAAATAATTTTTTCCAGTGAAGTAACTGACTTAGTTACATTCTAAAGGGAGGCCACTCACCAGGAACACAGATAGTAGCTCCTGTTCAAGATCTAGTCCACCTAGGGAATTTACACCTTCTATAAAGGACAAGAGCTGGAGGTGTAGCTCAGTGGTGCATCACTTGCCTAGCATGGTTGAGGCCGTGGGTCTGATCCCCAACACTGTGAAAGCACAGGAAGTGAAAACTCAAACCCACATCTCAGATGACATACACAAAGTACTGCCTGAGCCTTTGTCTTTCCCCTATAAGAGCAAAAGCCAGCAGGGCTTTGGAAACTTCTGGAAGAGATGACTCCCAGAATCTTTTACATTATTCTACTGAAGCGCGGAAGACAGAGGGCCTCTGTCACTAAGAAAACTTGGACAAGGAATTAGGTTTTTCTTTATACTCTACACAATTTTTAGTCCTTTTGTCTGGAACATAAAAGAGAAGCCCAAAATGTCTTATATATTATAAGATTTATCAGTCATATCAGTCTGGTCAGAAGAAGAATCTTGAGAATATCACATGCAACAAATTGCAGCACCATTTCTAAAGAGTAAGACCAGGTTATGATATTAAGCATGACATTGTTGATACGATTCTTATCCTTATAATTATGGTTGAACACACTGAATATTTATGGCATTATTTTCAGCCAGTAAGAACATCCATCCTGTTTTTCAGCTTCTCCAGTTGGCAACGGTTACATCAAGCCTCCGGTTCCCCCTGCCTCAGGAACACACAAGGAGAAAGGGCCGCCAACCATGTTACCCATCAACGTGGACCCAGACAGCAAACCGGGAGAATATGTCCTCAAGAGTTTGTTTGTCAATTTCACCACCCAGGCTGAGCGCAAGATCCGCATCATTATGGCAGAGCCACTGGTGAGTATATGCCATGAGGCCTCCCTCTTTGTGAATTCATCTGTATGCTGAATTCTGTAGGCCCTCCATATTACAGGGCTCCATATCCATGGAGTCAGCCAACCTCAGATTGAAAACACTTGGAAAAACGAATTGTGTCTGTACTAAACATGTACTTAACTTTTTTGGTTGTTATTCCCTAAATAATACAGTATAAGAACTATTTATATAACATTCACATTATATTAGGTCTTATAAGTAATCTAGATGATTTAAAGAGCACAAGAGGATATGCATAGGTCCAGTGCAAATACTCCGCCATTTAATAGAAGGGATCTGAGCCTTTGTACATTTTTATTTCTGAAGGAAGCGATCCTGAACCAGTCTGCACACACATCAAGGGATGACTGTGCTGGACTTTACCATCCCAATGAAGCATGGGTTGCAAATCCCCTGCTTGCCAAAGGGTATTTTTTTTAAATCATAGCTTTAAAAAGGTTTCCTAGTCTGAGGGAAAGAAGTTGTGAGAACTCTAAGACAATAATTAAATAAAACTTAGTAGCATGCTTCATGGCTGCATTTAACACAGTAAACACCATCTACCAAGAACTATTAGTAATAGGAAAATTGTGTGTATAGTCCTGGATTTAAGGAAAGTGAGAAAAAAAATCAGTGTTCTTCAAGAGGCTGTCTGGACTTCGACCTAAGGTCCTCAGTACCATGACTGACAGAGGAAGTGTTTTGGCAGTCATTCAGGAACCTCACTTCAGCTTCTGAAAATTGGAAGACAGGAAATTCTTCACTTACTTACTTTAGATCCCTTATTAGACAGATGATGCCCTTGGCCTTGAGGGCCTTTCACTGCAGATGTGGAGGCTGGGAAATAAGGTGTGGGTCAGTCTTATGTTAATCGCTTTAACAGAGCTCTGAGAGCACTGAATCTTGAAAGGACAATCAGGAAGGAAGAAAGTGCAATTGCTAGGTTCAGATTACTTGTTTTCTGACCTTGGTTGGGCCACACACAATAAGAGAAAAGGAAAGGAATTTAGAGTGACGCAGCTGTTTCTATGAAGCAAAGCTTTGTACCTCCTGTGAATATACTGGAGCAATGTGAAGGTAATCAGTTTGCTTTGCGGAATCGTAGCTGAAAATGATTAGGGCACTATTACCGAGTCCGCAGCACAGATCTCTGAAAATGTGTTAACAGACAGTGTACAACACCCTCTGTTAAAAATGACCTGCATGAAAGAATCACATCTTAAAGTTTAGGAATCAGAATTCAAGAGTGTTTACTAAGTGTATTTACTTGAAAGTTACAAACTCTGCATTTTAAAGTTTTTATGAGACCAACAGAGACTATCTTTATGCATTCTCTTAATAAAATTCTATTCACTTAGTGAATTTCTATGATTATGGAAATTATTTCTTGGTTTTACAACTTCAGTCACGTGACTTTGTTTCTCAGTGCAGTATCTTTTTTCCATTCACTCGTGTTTTTATGTTTCTGTTGCTCTTGCTACTTGGCCAGCCAACATGGAGTACTTACTGTGGGCCAGGCACTGTGCTTAATTACTCTTTACAGTGACTTAGGTCACACTTCACTTACAGGTGGGATAAAATAGCATAGAGAAGGTAAGTTACTGCTGAAGGTCACACGTTTCTTGATTTGAATTCAGGTTGGGTGATGTCAGAGCCCATCTCTGAACTGCAGTAACTACTCTCTGCGATGAGTCCTTGCGTGTCATCTTTAAGTAAAGATATCTTCAATCTTTTCCACCACCACAGGGCCCTCCTGTGACTTTAGTCAAGCAAGTCAAATATCCAAATTCCCACTCCTCAGCCAGTGTGATCCCTAGAAACCTCTAGCTGCTAAGGCAGCTGGACCCCAGTCCGTAGTAGAGGAAGAAAGCTGCCCTGGGGTCAGAAGGGTGTGGGGAGTTCAGGGAGGACAAAGCGGTAAAGCGCAATGAAGTTTCATTTTATTCCTTAACCCAGAGAAATGCAAAAGAAAAAAAAAAAAATTCCAGTTAAAGCTCTCTAAATTTGTGTATCCTCATGAATTTTCTGAGGCACCCAGAAGTTGTACAAAAGTTGAAAGAGATGATTCCTTTTGAATTATGCATGTTTCCAAGATCATAATTTAAATACTGTGCTGTTATTTAAGGATTTCTGAGATGAAATCACTTGGGTTTAACTGTGTTCATCTTTCCTCAGCTTAGGATTGCTTTAGGAGGCCTTTTCTCTTCTTTGCATGAGCTTTAGATCTGAAAGACTCTTGTGTACACACCATTCCTCTAATGAGGGGTAGAGTTGTGTTCCTTTAGTTAGATATCCCCAAACAAGGAAAGTTGCAGTCCTCTTTCTTCATCAGCAAATCTTTATTGTGTGCCTAGTGGGAGAGATGCTGCTAACCAGTAATAGCCGAGGAGATGTACCTGATGTTTTTATTGGAAGCAATACATGCAACCAATTCTTTGTGTTGTTACTTACTTTTATGAAAAGAAACTATTCCCCTTTTATTTTTTGGCACAGATGTAAACTTCCACGCCATATCCATGTCTTGTCTGCTGAAAAATACTTGGTAATTTTTATCCCTATATTTGTTTACTTATAGGATAGTAACTATAAGATGGATTTTGTGTCTTATTACTTGATTCTAAAAATATGAATATACATGTGACGTTTTGTCCTGTGGGCATAGGAAGAGGTATTTTTTGTGGTTTCATTTTAGTAGAGCTTGAGATGGAACCAGGTGCTTGCCCGTGTGCTACCGCTGAGCCACACTCTCAGCCCTAGAGGTATTTCTTTTTATGTAGCATATGTTTAAGTGGAATTCTAGTAAATGTCCCCTTCTATTGCTTTTCCTAATTTAGCCTCTTTTAGAAAGATGTTGAATCCTTTGATAACCTGAATTTATACGTGATTGTATAAAACCACAAAATTGTATTATCTTTATCCTTAATTAACTTGAAGTGGAAAAGATAATTTTCAAAAATTCAGAAATACAGATTTCTTATTTGGGGAACTATGCAGGAATCTGTATTTTTATTTTGTTTTGTATTTTATTTTATTTTATTTTATTTTATTTTAGGCCAGAGTATCACTGTGTAGTACATCTGGCCTGGAACTCACTATGTAGCCCAGGCTGGCCTGGAACTCACTGCAGTCCTCCTGCCTCAGCCTCTCAAGTGTTGGAATTATAGGCATGCACTACCACACCCAATTTGTTTCATTTTTAAAAGATTGACTTGGAATTTCATATCATTTCAACAGATTGTGTGCAATAGATTATATACCACATTGAATTAAAGTTTAAACTTTTATTTATGACTTCCTGATGCTCAAATAGTGACTCTTCATGGGTAAAAGGGGCAGGAAATAAAAATGTCCTACCAGATTCAAATTTTAGCTCTTTTTCTTTATAAATATCTTTGTAAACATCTTGTGCTTCTTCAGCAGCATTGCTCTTTGTACCCAAAAGATGCTCAAATCATGTTCATTAATATTTATGGATAAGTCAATAGTTTCATTCTGATTTTATTGCTTCATGGGGACATTTAATTGCTTTTGTTTATCTTACTTCTGTTTCACCTTTCCAGAATGTTCTAAGCAAGCTAAATGGGGTCATCTGTGTCTTGTTTTATATTTTATTTTAAAATATTAAAATCACAGAAGGAGTCATGAGTGGTAAATCACTCCGTCTTGTCCTTCTCAAAGTCTTTATCTCTCCCTCAGTTGTCAGTGATGATTCAGCCGGGAATAGAATCTGAGGCTGGCATTCATTCTCTCCTCTCGAGTTTTGAAGGTACATTTCATTCCATTGCCTCTGTACTTGCCGTTGAAAAGTCTGCAGTGGATTTGTTACATGTGGATTTTTTTTCTTTGTTTATTATCTTTGCTGTGGTGCACTTTGACTATACTGTTGTTTGATGTGGATTTGTTTTTATTTGCTTATTGGAAACTCCTGTGCTTCAAGAATTGAGGATTTATATCTTTCATTACTTCTAGAACATTCTTAACAATTAACCATGTGAATATTGCCATTTATCCACTTTCTCCATTCTCTTTTCCTGGCATTTATTGAACCTTTCATGCAATATTACAGGTCTTCTTGCCCTTCTTTTTTGTAGTGGTTCCACTTTGTTGTATTTTATTGCACTCTGGGTAATTTCTCAGATCTGTCTTCCGATTTCCTAATGCACTTTTAGGCTGTTTTAGTCTGTTGCTTACCCCTTCCATGGAGAATTTTAATTTTGATGACTATATTTTTTTCATTCCAAGTTCTATTCTCTTTTCACATGCACAAATAAAAATCTTGAAAAAAATTTAAAAGATTTACTTAAGGGTTTTGCTTTCATTTTATTTTGTTCCTTAAATTTACAGCTTTCTTTCAATCACCATAAACATGTATTTTCTATCCTGTTTTAGATTATTGTTCTACTATACCACTGTCTGGGGGCCTATGCTTATATTTCTTATGTCTGATAACTTTTACCAGTGGTGCATTGCTTTTTTATGCACTTTGTAAATTTTCATTGTGATTTTCTTTAGGGGGCATGGTACGGGGAATTGAACTCAGGACCTTGTGCTTGCCAGACAGGCACTGTGCCACTGAGCTATATCCCCAGCCCATCATTGTGAAATCTTTATTGGGACTTATTTTTCTATGGGTCTTCCTTGAAACCATAATTGAGGGAGTATTTCTCTAGCACTGCTTTGCTTTTTGCTCTTTTCTATTGCCCCAGAGTTATCATTATTTAGGAGCAAATATTGTGTTGCTAACTTGGCAATTTCTTCGCTAGCAGTTGACATAAATATAAACCCCCAACTCAGGTAAGACTTAGGCCTTAGTTTCGAATTCTTGGGAAGTGACATTTTTCTTTTTGTTTTTAACATAGAGCCAGGAAGAAACCACAGGAATAGCTTTTCCTCTTCCTGTACAAGTGTATAGATTATTCTGCAGACCGTTATGTCATTGTTTAGTACCAAACTTTATGTTTGGCATCTTAGTTGTGCCTGAC